GAGTGTCCTGTTTTCTCTCCAAAATGTAAAAGAGAAATGAAGCCATGCCAGCCCCCCTAAAGGTGAAATCCCAAAGATTACGTCCCACAAAAGACAAAGCATCCTAAAAACAGACACTTAATAACGTCCTGAATATGCTCAGGAGTCTTTAAGCCAAACCTTACAACTGGAAAGGGGTTTTCAGGCCATCAATCCTGATTAAGCCTCCTTCACAGTTGTCTCTTGGGCAGGACAGGAGATAGACCAACAACTCATTGCACCATCCCATCACAAGACGTCGACGAGTTGGTCCTGCCTTAGGATGAAAGCCTGCTGGGTGACTTTGGGCCAATCACCAGAAGACAGTGAGTTCTAGTCAGTGGTGGTGGGATTCAAATATGTGAACAACCGGTTCTCTTCTGTGGATGCCACTTTCGGAAGTCCGTTCTGGGCCTAGGCAACAAAAAATTAGCTACCGGTTCTGCCGAAGTGGTGCGAACTGGCTGAATCCCACCACTGGTTCTAGTTCTGCCTCAGCCATGAGTGACTTTGGGCCAATCACCGAGAGACAGTGAGTTCTAGGTCTGCCTCAGCCATGAAAGCAACTGGGACGACATTGAGCCAATCATCAGGAGGTTGTGAGTTCTAGTTCCACCTCAGCCATGAAAGCCCCTTGGGTGATGTTGGGCCAATCACCAGGAGACTGTGAGTTCTAGTCCTGCCTCAGCCATGAAAGCCGGCTGGGCAACTCTGGGCCAATCACCAGGAGGCTGTGAGTTCTAGTCCCTCCCTTAGACATGAAAGCAGCTGGGTGACTTTAGAGCGGTCACTGTTTCTCGGCCCAACCCACCACACAGGACTGTTCTTCTGAGGAGAAAAGCTGAGGAAGAGGAGGAAGTATTAGGTATGCTCGCTGCTTTGCGTTACTTATAAAGAACTAAAAGTGGGCAAAAAATTAAACTAATGAATTAATTAACCTTAAAGCTAAGTGCTGCCACTTGTTATGACCAAAAGGTAAAAACACCTTCAAATCAACCTTGACACCAGTTGCCTTTATGGGCATAGCCACATTGCTTCCTAGGCAGTTCAGCTAGTCCTCGACTTACAACAGTTCATTTAGTGACCATTCGAAATTACGATGACACTGAAAAAAGTGACTTATGACTGTCTTTTCACACCTATGATCATTGCAGTCTCCCTGTGGTCACGTGATCAAAATTCAGATACTTGGCAACTGACTCACATTTACAACGGTTGCAGTGTCCCGGGGTCACGTTGATCCCCTTTTGCGACCTTTTGACAAGCAAAGGCAATGGGGGGAAGCCAGATTCACATAACAACTGGGTTATTAACTTAACAACTGCTGTGATTCACTTAACGACTGTAGCAAGAAAGGTCGTAAAAGAAGATGAAACTCATTTAACAATTGTCTCGCTTAAAACATAAATGTTGGGCTCAATTGTGTGGTCATACGTTGAGGACTGCCAAGTGCCCTCTTTCACAAGGCTGATCCACTTCCCAATCCAGCCAGATGGGTTTATACAGGGATAGGCAACCTGGGCTCTTTTATGACTCGTGGACTTCAACTCCCAGAATTCCTGAGCCAGCCACGCTGAGGGAAAAGGGAGAGGTTTCCAAGCTGAGCCATGCTGGCTCAGAAATTCTGGGAGCTGAAGTCCACGAGTTATAAAAGAGCCAAGGTTGCCTACCCCTGGTCTAGAATTTCCTTCTGCTTTTCCACGAAGATGCTAAATCAAATGGACCTTTGTTTTATTTCAAGATCCGTTATAGTCAGCAAATGAGGCCACTGACAGAGACGCTGCTACACAACAGAAAATCCCGAGCTGCACAGGGGAGACAAGGATATTAATCATGGTTAATTTATTCAAATATAACTTTCAAATTGATTAGCCTTAGCTTTTTTCTTTACTGACGCCATAACAGTTCCTTATCCTGACTCTTGCTGTTTTATCATGTGGTCCTCAACTCGTCAAGACAAGAGCAATAAACCAGAGATCAAACCAGTTTCAACCCCAACCCAAAGTTGAAGGTCTAAGCCAGATGTTTTGTGGGAGTAACACACACCGACAGTATGCTAGAAGAGGATCAGAAGTGACAAACCAAGCAGGTTCTGGGAGCAGAACTTTCTCCCTTCCTCACTTCATCCAGCTAATAAAAATAACCAGCCTAGATCCACAATGGCTGAAGCTCATGAGCAAAAACGCCAAGATGCTCAGGTGGCCAGCTTCCTGGAGCAGCTGCCGCTGAATAATTTGCAACAATTCAAGGCAACCTCACCCTGAAGGAGGACTGAGACAACAAAATTTGAATTTGGGGAGTTGTGATCCCAGCACCTCTGAAGAAATCAGGTTGGAGAACTCTCTTGCAGAAGGGAGATTGCAACCTGTAGCTGCTCAATTAAGGATCACGGCAGATGCTCATCTTGGATCATGCAGCATAGCCACATCTGACAGCAGACTATTTCACAAGATACAGCAAGCAAGAGCTGGCACTGTGTTGTAGTTACAGAGCAAATAATGTTAATTCAACCTGACTGTGAAAGACTTTTTCTTTCATGCACAAAAAGCACTTGCAAGTGACTAGAATAGAATAGAATAGAATAGAATAGAATAGAATAGAATAGAATAGAATAGAATAGAATAGAATAGAATAATATAGAACGCAGAGTAGAGTAGAACAGAACAGAACAGAATAAAATATAGAATAGAATGCAGAATAGACTAGAGTAGAATAGAATGCAGAATAGAATAGAACAGAATAGAATAGAATGCAGAGTAGAGTAGAAAAGAACAGAATAAAATATAGAATAGAATGCAGAATAGACTAGAGTAGAATAGAATGCAGAATAGAACAGAACAGAATAGAATGCAGAATAGAGTAGAACAGAACAGAATAGAATAGAATATAGAATAGAATGAAGAATAGACTAGAGTAGAATAGAATGCAGAACAGAACAGAACAGAATAGAATAGAATAGAATAAAATAGAATGCAGTGTAGAGTATAACAGAACAGAATAGAATATAGAATAGAATGCAGAATAGACTAGAATAGAGTAGAATAGAATGCAGAATAAAATAAAATAGAATGCAGAGTAGAGTAGAACAGAACAGAACAGAATAGAATAGAATAGAATATAGAATAGAATGCAGAATAGACTAGCGTGCAGAATAGAATAGAATAGAATAGAATAGAATAGAATAGAATAGAATAGAATAGAATAGAATATGGAATGGAATGGAATGGAATGGAATGGAATGGAATAGAATAGAATAGAATAGAATAGAATAGAATAGAATAGAATAGAATAGAATAGAATAGAATACTTTATTGCCCAAGTGTTGTTGGACAGTGGACACACAAGGAATTTGCCTCCGGTGCATAAGCTCTCAGCGTACACGCATACAACAACAAAGTGATAGGTCATAGATCATAAATCATAGTTACAATAATTAACCATAAGATAATGATAAAAAGCAGCAGGACAGAAAATGAGAAGAGGATATTTGATTTGCTTCCTTGGATTTTCTAAAGCCAGACAAAACATTTCCCTCTTTCAGTTATGTTCTCGACTCCATCGGACTCTAGATCAGCTGAGAGCAAGGTCAATGCATCCCAATACAAGGGGCAGGAACCAAATCCTGTTTGGTCCTGGCATGAGGAACTAAGCAGGACAGGATCATCAAACCCAAGACTGAGAAGAAAAAAATAAACCCCACGAAGGCAAATCCATTCCCTTAATTTTGGTAAGAAGGCTACGCAGACATGAAACAAATAGGAATCAAACTTTTCTAAGCCATATTTTTATTGCATCACAGGGCAAAGAATTTCTTGGAGAAGACTCCAATATTTCCTTGTCATCTCCAGAGTCTACCCTTCCTGGGCTCATATTTAGTTCTGACAGCCCATCTCTGTGTGCATTTCAATGCTCTTCTGAATATGAATGGGAAACCCTTTCAATTCTCCGATGCAATCCCAAACTAGCTTTTCAAGGGAGACATTTTGGAAAAGTCTTTTTCGCTCAACAGGATGGCACCTTCAGACTACCATTTGCACTTCTGAGTCACAAAAGTCGCATTTCCACAACTAAGAAAGAGATCAGGAATCAAACATGCAAAAAAAAAAAAAACCTGCTAGGGATGGTTAGGGTTAACTTGGTTTGTAAGAAAGCGGGCTCTCAGTTTCGGATTCAACAAACTGCAGATGAACTCAGTAACTGACTTAACAACTGTTGCTGTGCAGGTAGAGGTATTTAATAAAAGGAAGAAGAATTCGATTACCGTGCGAACTTGACAAAAGGGCCTTTTCTAGAACCAACTCTGAATACTAGCCGATCTTGTTCCTGACAAATTTAACAGGTGCTTTTCTCCCAGATGTGCATCACATCTAAGCCAAGAAGATCACCATCTAATTTCTGTGCTTGACAGCTAATGCCCTAACACCTTTGTTAGTCCTTTGCGTGCCAGGAGATTGTTGTGGCTGTGGTTGTGGCCAGAAAAGACAAGCAGACCCCCCACCCACTATCCAGTCCTTTGGGAATATCTCTTCTCTCCAGCTTCAAGTAATCCATCCCAAGGAACTGTCCACACACACACACACACACACACACACCGCGCAGGCAGCTTTCTCAGCAAGAAATCAGAAGCGCCAAGCGCCCTCGCCTTAGCCCGAACTGTGTTTCCAAGCGCCCCGTGTAAGTTACATTGATCGGGTTTCCTGGTGGTCTCCTTTCCAGGGATAACCACCGAGATAAAGCCGGTGGAAGCTGGAAGAGGAGAAAAACCCTCTCCCCGTGATGTATGGAGCTCCACTGCCGCTTTCCGGGGAAGTCGAGGAACCCCGAGGCTTTCCCCCACGGCGGAAAGGTATCGGAGCCCCCCGCCCGGGAGGGGAAGGGAGGAGACCCGTTTGGCTCACCCCGGGACCTCTTTGCACCCCCAGGGAGGGCGAGGACCCCGCAGGGAGGCTGGCAGGCGCCGCGATCGCGCTTGGCTTTCTCACCTCTCGGCAGGGCGGCAGCTGCAGGCTGGCGGAAGCGGCCACGGCATCGGCCGGGCAGCCCAGCAGGAGCGCCCAGCCGCCCAGCCAGCACAGCGCGTCCCGCAGCCGGATCATCGCCCAGGGCAGGCAGGGTCCCCGGCTCCGCTCTCCCCGCGCCCCCGGCGGAGCTTCGCCCGGCCGCCGCTGCTGCTCCGGAGGTTGCTTCAATCTTGCTTGCAAGCGCCCGGCTCCTCTCCGCCGCGTCCCGGGCCTGGAACGGGTTCCCGCTCCGTCCGCTGCCCTCCCGGCCGGGCGAGAATCGCTCACCACCCGCTCGCTTGCCAGCTGCTGGGCGGCTGAGGAGCCGGGAGGGCGGGGCCGCCGGGGGAGGGAGGGAGGGTGGGAGAGAGGAGACCCTGACAGTGCGCAGGCGCGAGTGGTGGGGAGGCTAGGTGCTCTCCAGGATCTGGCCCCGGTTGTGACAGCTGGGGGGGGGGATGCGCCGGACGCGGGGTGGGGGGGTAGAGGCTCCATTCTCTCCGATGCCCTGAACTGGACTAGAAGACCTCTAAGGTCCCTTCCAGCTCTATTCTATTCTATTCAAAGGCTCAGAGGAGGCTGGTACCCATCAAGGGATGCAGCGTTGATTTTTCTTGTGGTCGTAAGTCGAAGACTCCCTGTACTGGGAACCCCGAATAATAATAAACCCCCGAAGCCTAGGACGATTTTATTTGACGATTCGTACGGACGTACGACCTGCCCCCCTCAATGGAGCCCAAAGTTTCTGTTGCTAAACGAGGCATTTGTGAAGTGAGTTTTGCTCCATTTTACAAGCGCTAAGTCACTGGTTCTCAACCTTTTTAATGCCGCGACCCCCAACCGGTCATAAGACGAGGACTACTCAACCGGTCGTAAGGCAAGGACTACTCAGCTGGTGCAGCACCGTTTGCAGAATGGGACTTTTGGCGGGCTCAGCAGGGCAGAGACAGCCTGGACAATTCCTATTGGCTTTTGAAAGCCAATAGAATTAGACTCTATTCAAGAGAGTCTATTCTATTGGCTTTCAAAAGTCAATAGAATAAAAGGGAGTAGCACAGCTAAGGAAAAGGGGGAAAAAATGGCAGACTGCGTTGTTTGGCGACCCCCGTGAAATGGTCGTTCGACTCCAAATGGGGTCCCGACCCACAGGTTGAGAACCACTGCGCTAAGTGAATCACTTCAGTTGTTAGTAATGTGGTTGTTAAGCAAATCTGGCTCCCCCCATTGATTGTGCTTGTCAAAAGGTTGCAAAAGGGGGTCATATCATCCCGGGACACTGCAACTGTTGTAAATACGAGTCTCTTGCCAAGATGCTGCAACGGTCGTTAAGTGTGAAAAACGGTCGTAAGTCACTTTTTTCAGTGGTGTTGTAACTTAGTCACTAAGTGAACTGTTGTAACTCGAGGACTACATGTATTTGTAACTCAGGGTTAAAATAAGGGGCCGTTGGTGCTGGTTTTCTTGTAGACATTTCATGACCCAACTACGAAACATCATCAGTTCTAATTGAGGTCTGGGCTGGGAATGGCTAGGTTGACAACACATGCTGCGCCCAGGAGAGATTAGCCTCCTGCCTCAAGACAACAAACCAAGATTAACACTAATCAAGTTCAGCTTGCTGTGTGGCTTGTCTGCAGAGTCCCAACCCAACCTAGTTATGCGAACGTAGTTGTTAGTTTATGGTTCAGCGTGTTGAGCAGACTTATAAAATTGGATTAATGGAGGGAACCAGGATTTAGTTCACCATGGTTACGGCTCGCATGTAATTCTCATTCTTTGAAATGTTTTGCAGAATATATTTGGATGTTGGCATAAAGTAGAATGTTAGATTTTCGGTGTATGTAGAATGAAAATCGAATAGTAGATGAACAGTTCTTTGCATGCTCAGAAAAATATGGCTGTAAACTTAATGCTTGCAAACGCAACTGCAATCCGTCATAAAAGAAATTCTAAATAAACATATATATTTTTTTCCCTGTGGTGCAATACTGAGAAAAAAATAGAAAATGGGATCTTATTTTTAATCACCTTCATAGTCATTCGTCTTAACAATTTCTCTTTTGACTTCCTAGAAAGCTCTTGCAATGTAATAATGTTCACTATTTAAGCAAAAGCTGACATTCGAAGAAACTTAACTAATATTTCTTAACCTTTCTGGGACTAACATCCATTTAATCAGTGGCACATTATTCTAATATGTTTGAGTCTGTTTGTGATGTATGACCAATAATATAGAAAAATCTGGGGCTTGCAACAACTTAACTCAGGTTTCCATGTAAGCCAAATGTACACCATGAAACGGCTGCTGGCAGTTGCTAACACGTGACTGTAATTATTATTCCCAAATAACCTAAATCAAAGTTCTTGATGCAAATACAGTCATTTTAAAATTCAACCTTGAGCCACATCGTTGCGGGTGCAGTCCTAAGCAAAGATAAAATTGGTCTTAAGCCTCTGTTTTGATGCGATGTGCAAATCACAGACCGCATAAATCAGGTCCTCCTGCAATTTAATGGGTGCTTTTTTTTTTTAACTCAGCATCATGAAATTTTAACAGCGGCATAAAGTGTCAAGTAGGAGACACTGAAATGCACCTGCAGATAGAATGTGGAATACTACTTTTTTTTAAAAAAAAAAAAAACCTGCTAGAAAAAGTAAAAAATTGTAGCTCCAAAGTGCTTGTATACCCAGAGAGAGAAAAAAAATCCATGTCCTTCATTCACATTGTATTTATTTCAGTGTTTCTCAACCTTGACAATTTTAAGGCATGTGGACTTCAACTCCCAGAATTCCACAGCCAGCAATGCTGGCTGTGGAATTCTGGGAGTTGAAGTCCACATGCCTTAAAATTGTCAAGGTTGAGAAACACTGATTTATTTGTATGGCTTTCTATTTTTTTAAAAAAAAAATCGTAGCAATTCCTCTCCTTGGGTGCTGAAAAGCCTCCAAGCCACCTTTCCTCTTACAAGATCTGCCAGCATACCATGAGCTTGAGAGTCGGGATAATTCAGGAATTTTCCTCTGAAATAAAGTTCCAGTGTCAAGGAAGCTAAAGTCAGGCAAAACACACACACACACAAACATACAAAACAGCTCAGTTGATAAATGGGAAAGGTGAAGAACTTTTCTTATAGATGTTTGAAGAGGTTTTCCTAGGGAATATGGAGAGACAGGAAAGATGCAGAGTGAGTATAGCTACATCACATAGGAGTGGGACTAGGGTCACCCAATGCTCTGAAGAATCTATCTATTTATCTATCTATCTATCTATCTATCTATCTATCTATCTATCTATCTATCATATATCTATTTATCATATATCTATCCACCCATCCATCCCTTCATCTATCATCTATCTGTCTTCTATCTATCCATCCATCCATTTATCTATCCATCCATCCATCCGTCTATTTATCCATCAATCATCTATCCATCCATCTATCTATCTATCTATCTATCTATCTATCATCTATCTATCTATCTATCTATCTATCATCTATCATCTATCTATCATGTATCTATCCATCCATCCATCCCTTCATCTATCATCTATCTGTCTCCTATCTATCCATCCATCCATTCATTTATCTATCCATCCATCCATCCGTCTATTTATCCATCAATCATCTATCTATCCATCCATCCATCTATCATCTATCTATCTATCATCTATTTATCATCTATCTATCCATCCATCCATCCCTTCATCTATCATCTATCTGTCCCATATCTATCCATCCATCCATCCATTTATCCATCCATCCATCCGTCTATTTATCCATCTATCAATCATCTATCTATCTATCTATCTATCTACCTATCTGTCATCTATCTATCCATCCATCCATCTATCCACCCATCCCCTGACCTCTCTTAACTTTTGTTCCATTCAGAAAAGTTAGAGCATATATTTAGTACAAATACCCAAAGATAAGCATATATATGAAGAGATCTTACACTACTTTGCAAATAAATCTACTCCAATTACTCACCTTCCCCCCCACCAGTGAATTTATTTATCAGATTTATAGTCCACAATCCAAGAGACTCTTCATATACTGTACATCAACAGCAGTGCAATAAAGTATCTCAGCCAAAAGAATATAAGGACAATTAATCAAAAGCAACACAATCAAAAGTCAGCGGTGGTGGTGTCAGCTTCTTCTCCCAGGGGCTTTCGGAAATAATTTGGTTTTTCATAGCTTGCAGAAAGTTAATAAAGTGGAAGCAGGTTGAATTTCTAGAGGAAGTCCATTCCAAAATGGACACGAACCTGGAGAAAAGGCCCTTCCCCCACTTATCTCATGAACAGTTGAAACTGAAAGGTCTTGGTGCTATCCAGTGCTTTTTTTGTCATAGAACGCACCGGAACAGAATTCCAGCACCTTTTTTCGACGGATTTTCCAAGTTTTAAAAGTAAGTTTTGAAAATTTGATATTTGGTCCACATGGACTTGAATCGCCCTGTTGAGCGTGGCAGGTCGGCGGCAAAATCATTAAAACGGTGCATGTGGGCTGGTTGTGTGTCGAGTCCGATGCAAGCGTACTTCGTCTGTGCTGGTTCTGTTGGCGCTGCTCGGCTTGTGGCACTGCTCAGCTTATAATTGGTCGTGTGGTCGCGCGCTGAGTGCTTACTGCGGATGGCGACCGTTATGTTTTGTTACACAACTGACACGTGTGGGTGTGCGTACAGTGATTGACTGCGTGCGAAAGGTAAATAATGTCTTTATTTTAAAAAAATGTTGGTGAATTGAAAATCTTTTTTAAATTTTTAGTGTAAAAGTATGAACCCAAATTTAAAAATGAAAAAAAATACTAATTACTTCTCAACCACCGGTCCTGCTAAGAACTGAATATATAATTTTTTAAATAAAAGATTAACAAGATGTCAGTCCCTGCACCTTTTTTCTTACAAAAAAAAAAAAAGCACTGGTGCTTTCTGACCTTGCTTGTTTTTTTTGCAGATGTTACCTAGTCTGATAACGAAACATCTGCAAGAAAACCAGCAGGCTCAGAGAGCACCAAGGATCCCTCATGTCAACCCTGAGCTACCAATATTCTCCTTGATTAGGTTGAAGTTGGCGGAGACAGATCTTTAAGTTGCAGAGTTTGAAGACCCCTAATCTGGAGAGAATGTCGGTCAGTGGTCTCAGGGATTATTTTGTCCGTTCTGCACAGAATAACATTTTCAAAGGCTCGGTGCAATTCTGTAAGGACAGTTTGGGGCTCAAGACCTACTACAGTTTTACAATTCTTCACTACCATTTGCCTTTTAACCGAACAACAGAGTTGGAAGGGAACTTGGAGGTCTTCTAGTCCAACCCCCT